GACATGCAAACACTTTATTATATGCCCACTGATGGATCAATAAAGAAAATGTGATGTAAGTGTGGCTACATGGATTAAAAAACAAAACCCAATTACATGCTGCCTATAAAGACTCACTTAAGCAATGGAGACAGACTTAGTGAAGGAACGGCTGGACAATGGTACTGCAAATCAACAGAATATAGTACAGCAAGCCAATATAAAGTTTAAAAAGGCAGGAACTACTCTCCTAAGATGAGATAAACTAGACTTCTGGCCAAAAAAAATTAATGAGACAAAGATGGATACTGTGTAATGAGAAAGGGAACAAGACAGGAGAAAGACTGTAACATTTATTAATATATACACACCCAACATAGGAACACCAAAATACGTAGGCAAATATTAACAGACCTAAAGGGAGACACAGCAATACAATCATAGGGGACCTTAACACCGCACTTACAGCAATGGATAGATGATCCAGACAGGAAACAAGAAAGGCACAATGACCTTTAAAAAACAAATTAGATGAGATGGACTCAACAGATATTTAAAAATAAATATATACAGAGCATTCCACATGAAAACAACAAAATATATACTTTTCAATTGTACATGAAACATTCAAGGCTGGGACAAAGAAAAAGTCAGTATGTTTATGAAGACTGAAACCATATAAAACGTATTTTGGATCACAATATGAAGCTGGAAATCAACCAAAATAATAAAGAAGGAAGAGCACAACTATGTGGTGATTAAATACTACACTACTGACAACTATCAAGTCACTGAGGAAATCAAAGGAGGAATCAAAAAATACCTGGAGACAAATTTATGAAAACATGACTTAGTAGCAGCAAAAGCAGGACTATGAGGCAAGTTCTTGTAAGTACAGGGCTACATCAGGAAACAAGAAAAACCACAAACAAAAATCTAAGCTTATACCTAGAAGAACCCCTGAAAAAGAAAAAGAAAAACTGAACATAAGAAAATAATAAACATAATGGCAAAAACAAAGATTGAAATTCAAAAGATCAATGTGGAATATAAACTAAGTCAGTCTCTATGGAAATCAGTATGGAGGTTTCTCAAAATACTGAAAATAGATCTGGCATATGATCCAGTAATCCTCTCCTAGGTATCCACCCAAAGAATACAAAAACACTAATTTAAAGGAATATATGTACTCCCATGTTTATTCTAGCACTATTCACAATAGCAAAGCTATGAAAACAATCTAAATGTACAAGGGCAGACTGTTGGATAAAGATGGAGTATACATACAATAATGTAATAATACTTAAATATAAAAGGGATAACATTTTACCATTTTCAACAACATAGATGGAACCAAAAGGGTGAGAAGGAGAAAGAAAAACACCAGATGTTTTTGCTCATATGTGGAATATGAAGAAATAAACCAGAGGGACAGAAGAACAAACCAAAACAATCCCTTGAAATCTGATTGCAGAACTGACTCTACCAGAAGGGCTCGGTGGGAGCAAAGTGGGAGAGGACCCAAAGGATATCCTGGGAGTGGTGTGATACCAAACATTTGTAAAAGAGTAAGCCTATGTTCCTAAAACATAAACAATGTTGTAAATCAATGGTAAGTCAATAAAGGTATTTTTTAAAAGGTCAATGAAACCAAGAGCTAATTTTTTTGAAAACTAAATATACAAACCTTTCACAAAACCCTCAAAGGAGAGAAAATTCAAATCAAAAATGAAAGAGAAGTCACAACATGATCCTACAGAAATACAAAAGACCATAACAGAGTATTACGAATATCAATATGACAACAAATTGAACAATCTGGAAGGAATATATCTATGCATACATATGTTGATTTATAATGATGCACACTTGAAGCCTGTCATATTGTAATGCACTATTACTTCAACTAAAAATTTTTAGATAGGGCCTCCCTAGTGGCGCAAAGGGTTAAGCATGAGCACTATCAAGCTGTCTGCAGCTACTGTAGCAAGAGTTGGATCCCTGGCCAGGAAGGTGACCCACATGGCACAGCAGACATCTCCTGCCTCGCCCTTGCTCCCCTCAGCAGTTCATTTCAGTCAATCCGCCTGTTCTGCTCCCCATTCTGTCTCTGGTGAATCCTCTCATCCCTCCTACCTGCACCTTCAGCCTACACCCCAACTTTTGTATGCATAAATAAATCTTTAAACAAAATTTTAAATAAACTATATATACACACATATATATAGTATAATATTATTCACCCATAAAAAAGGAAATCCTACCACTTGTGACAACACAGGTGGACCTTGAGGGCATTTTACTAAGTGAAATATGCCAGGCAAAGAGGGATAAATATTGCATTGATACCTCATCTATATTTGGACTCTAAAAAAAAAAAAAAACCTTAAACAGAGAATAGATAGGTGGTGACCAGATGCAGAATGAAGAGGCAGGGGGTGTATAGGAAGGTGACTAAAAAGCATCAAGTTTCAGTTTTAATATAAATTTGAGGGATGAAATACACAGCATGGCAACATAGTTATAGTACTATATTGTATATTTGAAAGTTGCTAAGAAAGTAGATGTTGAACATTCTCATCACAAGAAAAAAACTCTGAGAGGTGATGGATGTCAATTTATGGTAACCATTTTGCAATAAATACATGCCAAATCATACCTTAAATTTCAGCTCAATCCTTATTATTAATTGTCTTTCTTGCATTTAAGAATTTAAGTCAAATTTTAACCAACAACTAGTATTTTTTATTTTCTAAATAAAAAAAAAAATTCTGGAACTTAAGTACTTTAAATAATTTTAAAAACATTACCCCAAAAATGTATAAGAATATATTCATCAAATGTCATTCAGAATTTTCTTTCTTTCAATTCTGGTACAAGGGAGAGTTTTAAACTAAGTGGGTCAAGCTGAGGTTAAAATTACCTCAATTCTGTCTGCCTGTTCTGCCCCCCACTCTGTCTGTGGTGAATCCTCTCACCCTCCAGCGCCTCTGGCTGTACCCCAGCTATTGTATAAAAAAAAAAAAAAAAAAAAGGCAAAATTACCTCAGTTAAAAACAATGATCAGATATATAAATATGTGACATTTGAAGCCTGAATTCAAGCCAATAAATATTCACAAACTACTTGTTGTATATAAAATAAGAAATTCAAGAGTGTTAGGGTAGCAATCAACAGTGATAAGACTATCTACCCTATGAAAAAAGTACATGCCTGTTGATTTCAGTGTATGTATAGGCCAGACTTCTATCTTATCTTCCAGTTACATGAAACGATATATTCAAAAAGCATTTTAGTAGTTATTTGGAATGAAGTCCACATATTTTAATTCAGGGTTCCTAAGTGTTTCTGTTTATAAAGTGGAAAAAAATAAGGTATGATAAAAATTAATACAGATTTTTAATAAAACCACTAAAAAAGTAATGGAGATTACCAAGTGGTATCCCAGAGGCATTTAGCTTTGTCTTTGAATATAATTATTTCATAACTATAGTAGAGAAAATATTTTACATGGTAGTAAGTTATGCCAAAACTAAGATGGATCACCAACACCAGGTAAAAATAAACACTCAAAAATAAATTTTCTGAAATAAAAAAGTTATTAGATCTAGTAAAAGCTGCTTTTATTTACCTACCATTGACCGCCAAAGAAAGCAGAGTTCCCCAAAGAATATTTCTCAAATATTCTTTCACTTCCTGACTTAAGAACTAAAGTACCACACACAATACACTTAAATGCCAAAACAGAGAAAATTTACAAATGCCAGGAATTTTTCTTTTCCTAAATTTAAAGTACCTAATTTCTAGTCTAACTTTGCAGTCCATTATTCCTATTGAGATAAAATGCTCGGTATTAATGGAAAAGCTTCAGTAATGTCATGGCAAGGCAATATATGCCTTGAGATCAATAAATACATGACCTCTGCCTCTACAAGAGCAACGTGACCACTTCATCTACCAAACTTTAAACTTTACATAAAATGTAGTCCAAATCATTCCATTCTCTTGAGAAGCATATCTAAATACTATAGTTCATTTCAGAACTCTGAACTTTAGTACTGAATAGTATTAATTAAGCAATCATTCTATTTATTAGACATCTATAATGTAAAGTGGCCATAAGACAAAGTTCCTAATCTTAAAGTCATTCTCTTTTTAAAGTAAATTAAAATCCTATCAATGACTTGAATTAGTTTAATACAACCTAATGAATTCTTAAAACAATTTATCAAAAGAGAGAAGCAGCAAAAAACAGAGTTACTGGCCGGAGTACGAAATAGACAGACACTAAAGGCTGGTCCTCTGGTTGAGATCTATTCTCATAGGAAAAAACACTTGGACTGACTTAGGTCCTGGGCATCCTTTAGTCAAGGTTGAGTCACTATTCAATGCAAGGCATCAGAGGAAACCCCTCGATCCTGCAATCTCGGGATACTTTCCTAGTTTTAAGACTGAACATTCCAGGCAAAACCAGACAGTTGGTCACCCTAAGTACAGAAATAGTAAGGGGAATATAATTCAAACATTTATTGAACATTTTAGTATCAGTCCCTATGCAATAAAGTATCTGACAGTGTAGAGAATCTCTAAACGCTGCCATTTAAAATTTTTTAAAGATTCTCACTGAAACTGGCCAGTAACATTGATCCATTCTCTACTGACACCTCTTAGATGCCCTCTTGGTAGCAGTGAACTGGTACTCACTCCTCTAATCTCCTCTTCTGGAACAGCTCTCCCAATTTTATTCCCAATTTACTCTTACCTCACTAGCTACTCCTTCTCAGTCTCTTTGGATGGCTCCATTTCCTCTATCAGGCCTGAAAACATTAAGAGGCCCAGAGCTTGGTCCTCTGCCATCTTATCAAGTCTCCATTGTTTTCACTACACTCTCTCCATATGGACACCTTTAAAAACCATTTTATACACAGGGTACACACTGAATTCCTACCTTCATTCCCAACCCCATCACCTACCCTCTGAACTCCAGACTTGTATATACTATTTCCTACTCAAGTTCTTACCTGAACCTCTAAAAAGTTTCTCAAACTTCAGGTGGACAAATGGGAAGTCTTGAGTCCACTTATCTTCCTCACACTCTTTCCCATGTCCGGCACCAACATCCATCCATTGTAACTACTGGAGTCAAAACTAAGACATTGTCTTTGATATCTCTATCCCTCGTGCCCCCTCTAAACCATCAGTAAATCCTATTTATTACTTAAGAATTCCAAACCCATTTCTCTTCTCTCCAAATCCAGTCTTACTACCCTAATCCAAGCCATCAACTCTCACACTAATTACTGAAATGATCTATTAGCTGGCTTCCCCATTACTATTCCTGCTTCCTTCCCTCACAAAACACCCCAAGGATGGGGAATGTCAGCTTCGTGTTTCTACATAAAACAATGACATCTGCCTCATAGCAGGAGGTCAACCTGCTAAGCGAAAGAATGAAGTTATCTCCCCTGCCCTTTTATCACTAGCTCTCCCTCACACACAGAACAGAATCCAAACTTCTAATAATGCCTATGCAACAGGACTTTCTCACCTCACATCCCTGCTCACTGTGCTCCAGCTCACCAAACTCTCTTTTCACCTTGGAGCTATTTCAATACCCCCTGCCTGAACACTCCTGTCATGTCTGTCTCCTCATCATTCAGACCTCAGAGTAAAATTAACGCCTCAAAGAGGCGTTCCCTGACCAGCCTTCACATAGTAACTCCACTCTACCCACCCTCTACCACCTCACCTAGTTTCCTTTTTTTTCTTACTTTTTGACACTACTGAATTATCTTCTCTTCAGTTGACTTACAGACTGTTTCCTTCCCCACTAGAATTAGAGTTTGGGACCTTTTATTTCTTGTTCAATGATGTATCCGCAGGTCCCTACAGTGACTAGCACACAATATTTACTGAAAGAATGCCTCATGTTTTCACCAAGTACTTATTATGTGCCAAGCACTATGCTAAGTAATAACAATGGATTTTTCAGTTAAAAAATAGAAAGTCAAAGTAAAATATTAGAGTAATTTGATGTTTTTTATGTTGATCATTCTTTAAAGTTCTTAAAATGAATGAGGGGCCTCCCCAGTGGCGCAGCAGGTTGAGCACAGCGCTGTGAAGCTGTCTGCAGCCTGTGCAGTGTGGGTTCAATTCCCAGCTGGCCAGGGAGATACCCACAAGGCGCGGCAGACCTCTCTTGCCTCGCTCGCTGCTCCCCTCAGCAGGGTATCTCGGTCCGTCTGCCTGTTCTGTTCCCCACTCTGTCTCTGGTGAATCCTCTCACCCTCCCGCATTTCTGACCTGTACCCCAGTTCTTGTATAAAAGTAAATAAATCTTTTAAAAAATAAAATAAAATGAATGAGCTTATAAATTTCACTTTTTTATCATTTTGCCAATATAAAGTTTGAATATCCTTAAAGTAGTAATAGTAATTAATAGAACACTGTAGCTTTATAAGCTATCTAAATGATCACATTCTTCATTTTTTAAATGCACAGTTTGAGGAATCTAATTAAGTTACCACTCACTAAAATATCATCTAGAAGCCTTCATATTTTTGTCATTTTCTCAAAGTACACATGGACACATTTCATTCAGTTAGAAAAATTATGACTCAATAAAGCCTTTCTGTTCTCAATATATGCGCAACATGACAACAGAGATGATCGGACTCACCATTTATTGCCTGCCCTCAGATTAATTTATCAGCTTCACTCAAGGCAAGAAGAAGGTAAAGTTCCAATTACTAATCAAGCTCATTTCACCAAAGTCATCACTGAAGTTGAGACTCACACCTTACCCCCCTCCAATGTCTATAAAAGAAAGTGTCCATTTGAGTTTAGACAAAAGTTATGTTTCACTGTTACACAGTATTTTTAGGCACACCTAATTCAGAATCACACTAGAAAACCTTAGTCTCTGAAGTCATCATGCCAGTTACTGTCAACAGCATTATGACATCGCTAAACACCTATGGCAGTGCCATCAATTAGAGAGGTGGATAAAAAGCTCAAGGCATTGAACAAATGACATTTCTTCAGATCATGTGTTTTCCATAACATTTTGACTTTAGCACTTTTAAAATATCATATTCTACCTCCAAATGTTTTAAGAGTTGAATATATAAATGTTTTAAAAGTATGATTCATAAAAAGGAATAAATTCAGTACAACTAGGTATAAGTATACAAAATACAGCTATAGCATACTAGATTATTGCCTAAGGGAAATACATACATACATTCTTCATCCACCTTTGCAACTTACATTTTTTTAATTAGATATTCTCAAATGCAGTCAAATAGAGGCATAAAAGACTTACCACTTAATCTACTTAAAATTAGCTTTCTAATCACACTTGTCAATAGAAAAAAGGAAAGGGTATTCATTCTTCATATGAAAATACTGTCATTTATAAAATTGTGGATAAAAACAAAGCATGGTTATATCTAAAGCAAAGGTCAACAATTCGGTATTCTTTAATGTCATTACCTAAAAAAAGTTCCCTTTAAGTTTTTAGAACACTGGCTCTATATACCTTCATTTTTCCTCTAGTTACATATCCACATGAACAAAGCAGTTGTAAATACCTTGAAGTCTCCCATATATTGAGATAAACTTGTTTAAATGTGAGAAATTATTTGTTTATCCCTATTTTCACATTGGTCCCCAGGACCAAAATGACTGCTAATCAGTTCAATCAGAATACTGGTTCCCTTTTTATTTTTTTCCAGAAAAACTCTAAAATCACTCAAGAGTCAAAAAAATATACTAGATATTTCAAAAATGTTTCCTTAAGATTCTCAACAAAGAAAAAAAACCCCTACGTGAAATCAACTCAGAGGTCATTATCTTGACCTTCACCATCTGCTCATTTGCTCAAGAAACCGCAGTTAAGATTTTCATCTAAAGTACAAATTTTTTAAACTAATGAAAAAATAACTTCTAATATCTGTTTGCTCAAGAGAATAAATAAGCATTAACAAATAAGTTTATCACTTTATTGTAAAAGTCATCGATTCTCAGCATATAGCTGAAAAATATTTTATTGGAAAGGCAAGTCCTGACTTACCAATGGTTCATCACTGTCAAAGCTGAGATAAAATGTTTGTTAAAATATACTGTCCAAATTCCTTAAACTTGGAGAGTATTTACAAAGTACCATCTTCTACTATATTCTTTGCCACAGCAAAGGTCTAGAGGCAGCAAGTGAACCTCAAGTCTTTCCTTGGGTTACCTAACTTCTAAACAACATGAGCACTTCCTCTTTGAAAACAATGGAAAAATGAATACAATGGCTGGATGATATTTTATCTCCAAACATGTTATTATTATAAATAAAACTTGAGGTTAAGTTACAAAGACGTTACAGATGGCTTCTGACTTATATAGCTAAAATGAAAGCACTCCCTCCAATCCCTAGGGATAAAGAAGTGCCTTCTCACTCACTGAAATGACTGTGACTGCAGGATTTATGAATACTCAGTAGGCAAGAGTAACCTCTCAAATGCTGCCTCCTCTTCCTAGGACAAACAGTACACATTTTAAAGAAAGTAATTCCCTACTTATGTTGTTTTTTACTCAACTCATGCCTACACTAAATTCTATTATTTCTAAAATTGTTAAAGGCCCAAATTCAAGAGCATGATTTCAAATCTAACTCTAATTTTTAAATTTTATAAATTTTTTCACATATAAAATCGTTGTAAATGTACAGCATGGTCACTATATAATGTATTGTGTGCTTATTGCAAAATAAAAACAAATTAAAAAGCAGAAGCTGCTTGTAATGTAAGAAGGTAAATCTTAAGTGTTCTCACCACACACATAAAAAAGTAACTATGTGAGGGGATGGACAGCTTAGCTAGTTTGATTGCAGACATTATTTCACAATGTAATCATATATCAAAACATTACTACCAACAAGAACCAAAAAAAAAAAAAAAAAAAAAACCACTTCCAAAAGCAGCTTCTGCTTTTTAATTTGTTTTTATTTTGCAAATAATAGCTTTGAAATGCATACAAAAAAACATCAGTTAGAAAAGCACAAACATTTGGTGGAACAAGGTTACTGAACATGAATCCTAGAAATTTCTGTGCGTGTACATGAGGCAATTTTTCTATATAAAAGATCCAAATGATTTTTCAGCTTCTCAAAGGGATTCAAAATGCAAGATCAAAGTACCTGGAGGGATCGCCACATTGGATAAACTGTCACAGGCAGCCCAAATCGGGTTGGTGTTTTGTTTTTTGGGTTTTTTTTTTAAATCCCAAATTTGGGGGGGTTGGGGGGCGGGGGAATTTATCCTAATTTGTTGGCTCCTACACAACTTCTGAGCAAGACAGGCACGAAATGGCTGTCCGACATAAACGGCCCCCTTCACACACCCAACGCGGCAAACCCCAAATTTTCCTTGCAGGGGACGGGCGAGGCCAACAGCTTAACATCCCCACCGCGCAGAGGTCGATGTGGCTCTTGCGGGACGCGTCCTTCTCCTGCGCGGAAGGGGACTGCGGCGCAGGGACCACGTTTCTGTGAGGGGCGTCAGCCCCCGGAGGGAGGTCCCCGGCAGCGCCCGCACCCAGCAGCCCCCAGCCCCAGCGCCGAAACGCACCCTAAGGTGGCGCCGCGGGCAGCGACGCCGCAGACCCCGCCCGCGGAGGCGCGCCCGGCCCCGCCGCAGCGCCGTCGGGCGCCCATCCCCGGGGCCCGAGCCCGGCTCTCCACGGCGGCCACCCGCCCCACGCGAGAGCGGGAGGGACCACAACAAAGCCCGCCCGAGGAGGCCCCGCGAGCGCGAAGTCAGGGCCCGGGGCCGCGGCCAACGAGGGGCAGCCGCCCGGACGCGGAGCCCGCGCGCCGCGCCGCCCGGCGGCGGACAGTCCAGGGACGCGGCCCCCGGACGCCCCCCGCGGGACCCCGCGTCCGCCCGGGGAGACACGGGGCGGCGGGCGCGAGGCGGCGTCGGGGAAGGCAGGCCCAGCGGGGGGGCCGCGGCGGGGTCCACCGCGTCGCGGCCGGCCGCCGCCCCCGCCCAGCAGGGGCTGTCCCGCTACTCACCCTCCGGGAAGCTGCGGGCCCCGCCGGGGCCGTCCCGGCTGCCGGGCTCGGGGGCCAGGAAGCGCCCCCACATCGCGAGCAGGAAGGCCGGGTGGGCCGGGGGCGTCCGACTCCCCGCGTCCGTCCTCCCCACTCGTCCTCCCGCGTCTGCGGCCGCGGCAACTCGTCGGATCCGGGGCCGCGGCGGGCGGGCGCGAGGCGGCGGGTAACGGCTGCTCAGCGGCGGCGCCGGGCGCACAGCGCAGGAGCCACGCTCGCCGCGGCTGCCATGGCCGAGCCGGCGGGGCGGAGGCCCGGGCCGGGAGAGCGGCGGCTCCGCGCGGACGGCGGTTGGGTGCCCGGCTGAGCCGCGGCTCCGAGGCTCCGGCGAAGTTGCAGCTGCGGCGGCTTCTCCCCGCCCCCTCCGCCAGCAGCGCCGGGCCCGAGCGGGCCGGGCCGGGGCGGGGCCTCGGGCGCTTTACATAAGGCGTGCGCGGCGCGGGGCGGGCCGCGGGCGGGCCGCGGGCGGGCCGGGGGCTCGCGCTGCCGGGCCCCGGGCGGGAGTGGGCCCGTGGGGCGCGCGGGGCTCCCCCCCTCCCCGCGCCCTGGGTGATTGGGAGAGGGCGGTGCTGGGCTTGGCACGCTAGTTTGCTGTATCTCCTTTC